AATATGACGAGCTGACTATTGAATTTGAATCACACAGTGCTTTGGTACCATGTCTAGCACTGTTGGCGCGACCAGTGTCTACCCTCTGAATCTGGTACGAACCAAACTTCAGGCTGATACTAAGGGGAGGTATAGTGGCGCCTTAGATTGCGCAAGACAGACATTCGCAGAGGTAAATTTCTTGATATTTCAGACTATCACCGCCCGGTTTAATAACGATTCAGGCGTTTCTCTTAAACGATTTGTGGTATGTTCCACAAGTTCTTATGCATCAAGTCTTCACATTTCTCATTCAGAGCGGGGTGCGTGGATTCTATCGCGGACTGTCATACAACTTGTTAAAAGTAGCTCCAGCCGTCAGTGTCAGTTATATAGTTTACGACAAGGCCAAGTCTGCCCTCGCAATAACGTAATCGTATGAACAATTACATAGAATTGGAAAATAATGTACGCTTATCAGTACATAGCCTTCCTGATAGACAATGATCAGTAAAAATATATTTTTCATCGTCACTTTTCAATTTTTTTTTTAAATTTCAAGATAAATGCTATATTACGCACCACGCCAGCAACAGAATATACAACCTAACTAATGGAATAACACGGCAATACTACTTTTATTTGATCGAAATTAATCTAAAGTAGGCCTTAGTGAAACTGTGAGGTGCCACAACAGCCTATTTTCTGCCTTCGTTACTACTCCACCGACAGTCCTAACCTTGTATTAAGTCCGGTATGGATCACTTCGAAATTGCTTATACTTCATCGTCCTTGATTATATATATATATCTCTATATATATATATATATATATATGTGTGTGTGTGTGTGTGTATTTATATATATCGCAAACAAAATGATAACTGCAAGTGAGCGACATCTAGCAGCAAAATATAGAACCCCTGACGACAGCGAATACGCGGCCATCACAGTGGGCTCAATCTCTGCAATCTCATCCGTACACAATCCCATAAATCGACAGCATCATCGGCGCCAACTCCCTGAACTGTATGAATAACGGACCCCGAAGTGTTTTATTCGGTTTAGCTATTGGAGCAACATTGACGGTAGTTGTCAACGTAAGCGCGATCTCTGGAATTTATCCGTACGCCATTTAATGGTTATCGACATCATCGGCGTCAATTTATCCATGCAACAGTATGAAGTAGTTCATCACTCAGTAATAGATCATAATAATGTCCCTTTTCTCTTACACTAAGTTCCGCGCGCGCACCTTCTGTAGATGCGAAATGTGAGAGACCAATCCAGTGGGATGACAGGGTACGCCTTAAAGACACTGCCCCTTTCCACCCAAAAATTGGTTCCGACTTTTCACTCCGCATCTGAAAATTCGCACGGAAGCTGGCTTTTGGTGACACTATTCCTTCCGACGTGCCCGTACCACTGCATATGCGAAGTGAGAAAGACCAATTTTGTGGGATGCCAAGGTACGACTTGAAGACATTGACCTTTTCCACCCCACACTTAGTATCATTTTTACACTCCGCACCTGCATATGCGACTGGATACGGGCCATTGGCGACACTATCCAGTCCCCACATGCGCATACCACCTGCAGATACGAAGTGAGAGAGATCAATCCGGTGGGATGTCAGGGTACGCCTTGAAGACACTGCCCCTTTCCATCTCACACTTAGTCCTTTTTTTTCACTTCGCATTTGCAGATGCCAACGGATACAGGTCATTGACCTACATGCACTGGAACAACAGTCTCGTACTGTAGCTAGAGCACTAGACTGCTCTCCGCCACTGATACAGTTGTGAGGACGACAAGCCTACCAGTGGGAGGGATAGGGCACGTCTCAAAGACACTCTTCCATACCCCACCCACACAAGGTCGTCCTTCTTGTCTTCCTCGCACAATTTGAGGGCCTCAAATCCTGGCGACAGGATGGTATTGACATTCAAGTGTAAGATGACTTAGCCATTAGCAAACGGATCTACGTATCGCGCCCTCGCTTTCTTCCTGCTGGAGCCGATCGAAGGCTTGGGGACACCAAATCCAGGAGTTTGGCCGAATGCTGCATTGGCAGTGCCGGGAGCTTGTCCAGGCGAATTGGACTCAGCGGTGACAGTTTTGGGAGTGTCAGGAGCACCACTACCTGAGGCAGATTGTTCCTTGGTCTCGCTTTGAGTGTAGCCTAGCGTCTTAGGTGGCGGGGGCGGTGGTGCTTCATTCTCCTCCTCGGGCTCATTCTGTGTTTAACGCAAAATGATGAGTAGGAGAGTAGTATGTTCCAGCGTAAAATCATTCTATATAAATACAAACAAAAAGCAAAACAACCCGAAACAACCCAAGACACCGCATCGCTATATATATATATATATATATATATATATATATATATATATATATATATATATATATATATATATATATATATATATATATATATATATATAAATATAAATATACATATACTATATACTATAACACTAACTAATATATATATATATATATATATACTAATANACTACAA